GTGTGCAGTATGCGTTATGGGTAGCCAGAAGGATTTATGCCGTAGTACTCCGAGGCCTCGCCATGTTCGTCAAGTTGAGACAGTCGAAACACACAACCCTTGAACAAAAAAACACAGTGACTGTAATTGCATGACAGCTCGATCTTTGCAGGTTCACAAGGGGGAGCTACTGGTGTCGGTGCCTCGCGAAGCCACCATCGAGGTGGGGGTTTGTTAGGATTTACGTCTCAAGTGTCCGCGATTGCTCTATGCTGACGTGCTTCAGTTATTCGTTCAGCGGAGTATACTGAGCAGGTGGACTGCGATAAGGATGCGAAAAGCTAGGTTGCCGTGATGTAGCATTGTCTTCAGGTGCCGATGGATGAGGACATGGAGGACCGACGCTGCGGCTTCAGGCAATGTCATTCGTTTTCCGTCGTCCCTTCTTCAGACCCTAAACCTCAAAACCCCGAAACGGTTTCGGGTTTAGGGCTTTCCTAAGCCCTTAACCTTAAAACGGTTTACACAGGGTTTATGGTTTCCTTCAGCCCTAAAACCTAAACTCCTAAACCCTACTCGTTACAACCCGTGAAGCTTCAGAGGAGTGGGAGGCGGAGATGGGCCTGGAGCTGCTCCGCAGGCGCCGCACTGCAGAAAGCGGGGAAGATCTAACTAATGCTTGCCTGGAAAAGAGGGTGCCAAAAGTGGTGTGACAATATGCAGCACAGGTTCTGGTAGAAGTGATAGTCGTGGTTTGCTCAGAAAACACCGCAGGCTGTAATTTAGGTAAGCTGCAGGCTATCGTAAAGGCCCCGTGCCATAAGGAATTTCGGCATGTGGGCCTAGGGTTAATTGTCTAAGTTACAGAGTAGGCTTGTATAAGTTCTGCACTGGAGCCGACTCCTGAAAGCCACGGCAGCGTGTCCAGTGCGCTGGCAGTTTTCCGCGCAGCGTTCACAGGACACCCCAAAGGCTCAACCATGGCACCCGAAATCCTAACAAAACTCGGAAAAGATCTATATATAAACCAGAGCACAAACCCAGGGTCTTGCATAAATCCTAAACAGTGCTGAGAATATGAGCAAACAACTCGTAAAACGAAGCCTTAGCCCGTTCCAAACTTTCACCCCCAGTCCTGGCGGACTCACTCCAGCGATGCAGCAGGCTAAAACCCCAAAATCCCAAAGCCACAAGAGAAAACCCAAAGCAATACCACCCAACCCCCACCCTAATCACAAACGTAGGGTCTTCCATGAGACCGCAAGGCTTGGCGACCTCGGTCCTAATGCTGATGAGAGGCTTCCCGGGGTTTAGGGTTAGGGATTTAGGGTTTTATTGTTTAGGGATTTGCAGAAAGGGTTAGGCATGTAGACTGGCTAGACTTGAGTCCCGTAGCAAGAAGGATTCGGGATTTTGGACGTCTTGTGAGGCTTATTATATGATTTTGTAGGGTCTTTTAGCGTTTTCGTAGGAGGTTTACGGTTACAGGCTTTGACACTTGTTTGTGGCCCAGAAAAACTTCTACTTGTATACGGCTCTAAACCTTTAGGCACCAGTTCAGAAAAAACCACGCAATACAGGGCCCGTATTCCGTGGCACACTCGAGGTTTTACAGCCCTATACACAGCCTTCACCACCTCAATTGCTTCAAAAAAACCCTCACCTCAAACACGAAAGTCCCTAAACCCTACAGAACCCTGGGCGAATTCCTGCTGAGTCGGCGAGGTTGCGGGAAAGCCCTCGGCCCTTCGAGGTGCCCCTTACCTAAACTTACCTGTTTAGGATTCCTTCTTCTGATTTTTATACACGTCCTTAAGAAAAGTAGGTTCTTTGGGGTTACGGTAGGGTTTAGGCGTGTGGGTGTGGGTGTGTTTGTGTGTGTGTGTCACCCTGAAGCCAAGGGACTACAATTGCATGCAAAAAGAAGCAGCGGGGCCATGCACGCCTGGCCGTCATTTCCAACGAAGATACTGTAGGTGCATGGTGATACCTGGCCTGATCACATGTACCTGCAGAGATGGCCGCCCAAAAACATTACCGCAATAAGGCTGTTGCTGCTGCAGTGGCCATGAAAGTGATACACAGTCGAAGGAGCTGTTGAATGTTAGTGCAGATTTTCAGTAAATGAAGAAGTCGACCCAATGATGTGATTCAAAAGGGAAGAGACAAGCAACACCTATGGACCTGCTGTCATCTACAAGACATCAAACGGTCACTCCGAAAGTCTGAGTGTGTGTGTGTGTGTGTTTTCAATCGGGATTTAGGTCGGCTATAAACGCGTCGAAGATCAGAGTGGGGTCATGGGTTCTACTGTATGCTGCACTACAGCTGTTTATATGTGTTTCGATTCTAGCTTTCAGGATTGGGGTATCCCGAGTACAGTTAGGGCTTCAGGGTCTGGAGTTCTGAGGTTTAGGATCCCAGGAACTGGGTAGGGGCTGGCATAATTAAAACAAGAGATTCGGGTACTATAGAGGTACTTTTGGAATTCCGCGTTTTTTTGGGGGGACATCAATGTAGGCCCGTAGTTTAACAAACCAACCTCGTTCAGAGGTGCTTTACTGCAGAGTCTATTGCTGTGTAGTTGGAAGCAGGGGGAGGGATATAACGTAATATAGCGTATGAGGAATTCGTGACCGTGTCCCCGTGTAGTCCCGATGTGAAAATGCCGTTCTACAGACCCAATGAGCCGCAATCGTCGTGAGGGCTTCGAGCTTCATTGTTCCAGATCGTGGTTCCACCGTTCCTCCCTATGGCAGAGAAAGCTCTCAACCTTCAAGCCTTGAGGCCCAACCCTAAACCCTCACGTTTCAACCTCGCTTGTGGACATTGCTGCCAGCCGAGGGAAAAAACCCTCACATTCAAGCGCAAAAGCCTTCATCCCCACAGCACCAATCCCGGAGCTCGACAGTTCAATGCCTGCAACAAACGCTAAGCTAAAGCCCTGCCGCCCTAAACCTTAAACCTTAAACCCTGAAGCACTTCTCGCAACGCACAAATCTGGAAGTGTATCAAACCTTGAAGCCCCAAACCCTTGCCGGTTTGTCTTCTTTTTCCAGTCTTTGAAGGAGCTCTGGCGGAACTACACGGCGGAGGCTTTTCCGAAGGACGACGGCGAGTCGTCGCTCGAACTCCCTGACATGGTGTTCGGATGTTGGGGGTTTATGGTTTGGGATGTTTTGTGGTTTGTGGCTTTGGTGTTCAGGGTTTCTTTCGACTCGAATAGTGACAGAGACAGAAGGTTGAGGGTGATATACTGAGACAGTGTACAGTCGAGACTGGTTAAGTCCACGTTGCAAGGACTCCTATGTGGATGACCCCTGGCTCCAGTTTCGTCAATGCCCATGAGTAAGCTTCGAAGAACCTGCCTCAAGCAGTTTGCCATAACAACCAGAATCGCCTAAGACAGTCTTCTCGTTGTCCTCGGTGGTAGTGCTTATTATTCACGACAACAGCCTGCAGCTTTATGAATATACTGTGGCGAAAGCGATTGATATTTTGTGCCACTGCTCGCAGAATCCGATGTGCAGTCAGCATAGCCCCGCCTCTACATGCGCCCTGATCTACTGCAGCTACCCTAAGGGTCCATGTACTCATATAGCATATACTTGGGCCCCAATGTACCTAAATAGGGACTACCTTAAGGCCAATGTATATACTATATGAGTACATGGACCCTTACGGCTAAGCACGATGCTCCAAGCCCAGACAGTGCCCGTGCCGAAGCTACCCCAGGGCTGCCTCGAAGGCCCTAAGCTTTAAACCCGAAACATTGATCTCTAAACTCCAAATCTTAAACCCTACTCTTAGTTGTGATTCTGTGGACTATGTGGAGCCTTGCCTGCCTTGTGCGAGTGTGCGCGTCGAAAACCGAGCAAGTGACCACGACTTTACGGCTCTGAGACAGGAGCCCTCGGGAGCCGCGTGGGACACCCAGTTCAGGTTCGGTTTTAGGGTTTGGGGGTCAGGGTCTGCAGGGTCTAAACTGAAAGAATCAGGGTTTAGAGTTCATGTAGCCTGATGAAGGGACTGAGGCTTTGAAGGTTTTGGCTTCGGGGCTTTAGGGTTTTAGGGGATTCACGGTGCATGCGTGGTGCCTTGCATCATTGCTGTATCATTGCACCGACAGACTGAGGATGATACGGATGCTTGGACATGACATGACTACACAGGAATGGTATTCTTGGGGCAGGAGTCGCCACCTAAGCCCCCCTAAACCCTGTAGCTCTAAACCCTAAAACCTAAACCCTAAGCCAAAAGCCCTAAAACCCTAAACTCTAAAGCCTCAACCCTAAGCCCTGAACCCTAAACCCCGAACCCTAAGCATGAGGATTGGAGAATGCGTCTCGCCTGCTTGCAGCATTACTCATGGCTCCTCACGCTGCAGCAACTTTCGCCAGGTTGAGATCTACGAAGCTGGCCGAAGATTAACAATTGATGAAACAGCCGGCCTAAATTTCCTCATCGATACCTTTGTAGCGTAAAAGCTTTTCGATGAAGAGCCGACCCTCTCAGAGAAGCCACCCGTGGTCCTCGTCGAGGCTACTTCCTGTAGCTAAGACTTTGCGTCGGGTCACACGCCGACCGCAGCATGCACTACAGAATTACCTATACTATTTTGGGGGCTCCTTATCATAATTAAAGTATAGTGGGGACCAAAACCCCATTCTAATTATTAAGGCCCCTTTTTCTTCAGGCATGTGGCACGAAGCTTGAAGTCGGAGGCAGCCCGGCTCCGGGCGTGCGGGCGTAAACTAAAACAGGAGCCGCGAGTCCGACAACAAAATTTAGGATGTAGGTAGGGTTTAGGGTAAAAACACGAAAAGCATAATCCCATTGTAGAAGCATGGGGCTACAGCCAGCTGAACAGTCAAAAGCAAGCAGACTTACATCCTAAACCCCCCAATCCTGGGCAAAGGCCCCCAAACCCCATACCCCTACACCCTAAACCCTGAAGGGAAATTACCCCAAAAGCCTTCTTGGTTTGGGAGCAAAGCACCGTGCTTTCAGAGCCTTTTGCCATGACTCTTCGGCCGGATCTTCAGCTCCTGCTGCTGCTGGCAGCCCCATGACTTGCTATGGTTTGGGGTTTCCGAAAACTAGGGGTACCTAAGGGTTCCTTTAAAGGGGATACTATAAGGGTACTGTAAGGGTTCCTTTAAAGGGTTCTATAGAGGGTTTGGGCTTTCCGAAATTTAGGGCTGCCTTATTTTGAGGTCCTTAGAATACGGATCCTACTAGATGGGGCCACCTTATGTTGAGATCCGTATACTACGGGCTACTAGATTAGGGTCCCCTATTTTCGGAAACTCCCATATGGTTTTTTGGGGTGGCTCTGGGATTTAGGGTTCAAGGGTGGAGGTGAGGGTTCTTCGTGGGCTCTGGGCTCGAGGGATTTAGGGTTCCAGCCAGCGCTTGCATTTGGGTTTTGTTAGGGTTTACCGTGAGTTCTGGGCCTTATAGTGCTGTGTCGTGAAGCTTGCCTTTGCCATAGTTGGGTGCCATTTTACATTTTTATGGGTAATTACTTAAACCCAATAAGGAATAAACATGCATTTTTTTAATCCGATCCCAACCATGAATTAGTTGCCCAGCGGTGGCCGAAGTGCAGAACTGCACGGATCGAGGTTGCAGGCAAAGCGGCTGACAGCTTTCCGGTGGACCGGCCGCAAACATCTAAGGTTCAGTTCAATGTAGTAAATCCCACAATCATCTGGACCCTAAACCCTAAACCGATAGGTAACATGGATCTAGCATGAGTTCGTGCTTAGACAGCCTGCGAGGAGCCAGGATCCTGCCGTACTGAACTGACATCCCGAAGCCCTCAAACCCCAGTTGACCGTACACGATAAAGTTCGGTCGCAGGTTGCAATGCCAGGATCTTGGAGCAAATTCCCACAGTTGATGCTGCACATGCCTGTGTCGCTAAGATTCGCTAAGCAGAAATCCGAGTTCTAAAACCTGATACATAAGCACTAGACCGGCAAAGAAACAGTGCAGGATTGCAGAGCCGACGCTGGTCTGCCTAGGCGCTGGCGGCCGTGCTTATGATCTTAGACGTCTTATGGTCTTATGGTGTGGTCCCTGTTTTTCCGAAGCTCGCACTTCTAGATCTTCCCGTCGCCAGGTGCTTAGATGAATTGGCAGCGCTGGGCCTACGCTTTGGCAGGGGTGCTCGGTGTGGGTTGAAAGATAGCACACCCTTGGCGCGGCTACTTGTATCGAGACAACAGCGTTGAAAGCGTGGCAAGTACTTGGATGAGATTGATCTTCGGTCTGTAGGAGCCAAGTCTTTACAATGTTAATCGTGAGTTGCATGACGCGAACGCACCTCGTGTTGTCTAATTACTTAAGCTATCGATCATGACAATGATAATGAACAGAACTGTACTGGGGGTCAACTACCTGACCCATCCCGCAGAACCCTCCCAAGTCCCAAGCCACAATACAAACAAAAACTCTAGAACTCCAGTCAGCAAAAGCTTCTCATGGAATCTCTATATGTGCCTATGTGTCAACTTATCCAAGATGCTTCGTCCGAGGATTCAACTTCCGGTTTCGCACCAGGTTAGTTTTCCCTTGAAGGTAGTACTTTTGATAGTACATGGCGTCGAACAAGCGGGGGCCAGGATGGAAAGCTGTCGCTTCAAAGGGGGCCTCCATGTTGCCCAAAGGCTCCATGTAGCCAGATAGTATACACTTATACCCTAAAGTACCCATATAGGAACCCCTTTAATGCCCGAGTCTGTACTATATGTGCACATGGAGCCTTAGGGTTAGAGGGACCTTTGACTTGGCGTGGAAGTGTTGGAGGACACAGGCCCCTATGGAACAACACCCTTTGAGAAAATCGCAGGAGGCTTGATCCTAAGCCCTAAACCCCAAACCCTGCAAAAGTTCAACCCAACTTTTTCAAAAAAAAACCTGGAAAAGTTGCCCGAATACGAGGAAGGGCCCCCCGTCTTGGCCGAGGTGAAACCTTCCACTTGGCCCAGAGTTGCGGTGACTTCGCAGAAAGCAGGTTTTCTCGGCGGATCTGGGGAACCTTCGGCTTTCGGGGAGCCTTGGGGTTTTTGCGGGAGCCTTCAGGTTTTGGGGAGCCTTTGGGTTTTTGCTAAGAGAATCTTTGTCCTTACCTTGCCCTCCTCAACCCACCAACTCCCCGCACACTCTGCAATATTGTGAACAAACCAAGACTTCTGGCTGCAAGATGCATGCCAGAGGGTTGCGGCTTCGGAATCTGGTTACATCTTGATCTCAGTCTGTCTGAGTCTTCAGGAAATTTCTGGAAGACCTTAGGCACTCCACTCTCCACCACTCCTCAAACGCTACCAGGGATCCATGAAAAGGAAGCCTTAAGGCTTTGAATCAAGGGAACCCAAAACCCTACACCCTATACGGTTTAGGGATTAGAGTCTCCGGGCTGACTGGCTTGGCTTTCATAACATCCGAGAATTAGGGATACCTTATTTTGGGGTCCTTATAATGAGGATCCTACTTTTTAGGGTACTCTACTAGGGCCGCCTATTTTCGGAGACTCCCACACATCTGGAAATTTGTGCTGTGGTATGTGGTAGGAGCCTATGAACAAGGTGCCACAGCATGCCTTGGAACAACTCACCCCCAGTGCGCTGCAGACATCAGTCATAGGAGGCCAAAAGGGGTTTTAGCCTATGGGCTTTAGTAGGGATTACGGTTCCCATAATAGGGTTCATATTAAGGAATCCCTACCCCAAGAACCTTAAACCCCCCCTGTTGGGCTCTCATCAATCAGAATCAGAAGCTCCCGGTCTTTGCCACAGAGGTGACGAAAACCCGGTGCTGACGCTGCTGACGGAGCCGCAAAGGCAAGGAACGGTACATATGGGTGGTTCTCAAAATTCGGGCCCTTTTTGGGTCCCTATTGTAGTACGGCACCTAGTATTTAGGCCCTAAATACTACCCTAAACTTTAGGGTACCCAAAAGGGAGCATAATTTTGACAACGAACCCGTGTTTCAAGCGGCCGGGGCAGGTGTAAAGCCCCGGACCGTCACCACCTGTCTGTTTCGCTTGGCACAACGAGCACTGCTTTTCACGAGCCCACAAAACCCAACCCCAAGCAGAATCTGCCCATTCTCTTGCGTCGCAAGTGCCAGACTGCCGCCTGGCCGGATCCGCCAGCTTCTTCAGCACCAGGAAGCAGATGCACCGCCCGGTATCCTGGCGGCATCTTATAAGCTTACAGTTACTTAGTTGCTAGTGTTGCCCTTTGTAATAGGGCTTAGACTTTGATAGTTGGTGTATGCTCAGTGCATATAGAGTTTACGGTTTGCAGCTTCCACGTGCTCTTCGGGGCATTGGTGGAGTGATGACTCCGTCAGTCACTTGTTGCCAAGTTCTTCAACAGTCCGAGCAGTTAATTTCCGAAGTGATGCATCCTGACCTGCAAGCTCGCCTCTTCCAATCCCAAAGCCCTGCAATCCCTACATCAAGCGCGGCAATTCCAGAAAATTGCTCGTTTGCGGCAAGAACCTCAGAGTTATCCTGGTGATGAAGATGATGTTGATGCTGATGATGATGAGGACAAAAATTGATAGCAATGCTAATGCTTATGACTGAACTGTGGTAATGCTGGTGACGGTAATGGTGCATCGTGTTGATTCTGCGCATTGGTGATGGTCTTGATTGTCCCGTTGCTGGTGGTGCTGGTGCTGGTGCACGGGGTTGTTCCATTGTCTGTTCGTGACCACGGTTGAAGACTTATCAGTTTACTTGCGGTCAGAGTCGCACTATGATGATCTCTGGTTCTTGAGTTGCGGTGGTTGCGATCGTAGCTATGCCGTGGATGTACTATTATCGTTTTCGTGTCTCCCTGCGGTTAGTATCCGGGAGTGCTGCTTCACTCGGCAGGCATTTCTCTGCTGCGACTTGCTGTGATGACATCGCAGCGGGTAGCCACTCGATTTCTCGAGGTGGCAGCAGGCTCGAACATGCGTGCTGGCGTGTTGGCAAACAGAAGACGCTTGTAGGATTCGCTCCAGGGGTTGGGCCCGACTGAGACGGGCAGACCAATCAGATAACACGAGTGCGGCTGCGCATTTAGCGAAAGTCTCAAGGTCTTTCAGGCCCTTGAGGTGTAGGCATACCGCCAAGTTCCATGATGGTGTTAGCCACAACTGAACAGAGACACAGTGTTGTTACCTTGCTACCTCTTCTTACCCAACAGGCCACGGCTTCGCCTGTTTCGCGCAAGCGGCCTGTGCTGAACCACCAGCCGCTGCAGATGCGCTTGCTGCAGCTGGTGAGGAGCTTCTTCTTGCTATGGCCCAGCCCCTCGGCATGTCTAGCAGACCTCGGACAAGCCAAACCTGAAAAAAACTATTTCGACAGTATAGTCTATATGTTCCGAGACGAGGAGAGCCAGCAGCCAGGGGCCTTTATCTTACTTATTGCTTCCGCAGTTCGATGCAGACTACATGCGTGTATGTGTAATGTATACAGACACCACTCGAGGCTGCTCCAAAGCGCGGCAGATGTGCCACAGAAGGTGACGCCACAACTGCAAGTTGTTGAGTTCCTGGTACGCTAGCCGCTTGCGCAGCTTGCGGAGTCTAATAGAGCTTCAGGAGGCAATCGGCAGTCTTGCAAACGCGCGTGCAGCATGTAAGATGTCCCGAGTAGATGTGTGGAGCAGGGTTTGGGAGAGCATCAGTGATGTCAAGACACGTCGTGAGCCAGCGTGTCAGGCCCATGCATGACACTGCATGTGGATGCTGCATATTTCCCGCGTCTTGCATGCAGCAACACGCTACACTGCAAGTCCTTGTGCATGACTTGATTTGTAGCTAAAACTTTTGACCCTCCTGAACCCGCCCGAAAACTTCCAGTTCTTTACATCGTCGTAGTAGTCCGAAGTAGTCGTGGTCGTAGTAGTCGTCCGAGTAGGAATAGCAGTAGCAGTCGCAATAGCCGTAGCAGTAAAAGTGGCAGTAGCAGCAGCAACAGTAGCGGCAGTAGTACACAGCAGTGGTAGCAGGAGCAGTCGCAAGCAGTAGAGAAGCCACGCAGCTTGTCACCGAAATACGCGTGCTTTGAGGAACCTTGGTCTGAACCCTATCTTAGTAGCCGAGTGGATACACTTTACACTTTTTGGGATAATATTACCCACTATAAAACTAAAAGTGTACAAATTTTGGGGCTTATGAACTCAGCAACTAAGCTATAAGTACCCGAAGCCCTAAACCGCACATAGTCGTATCGTCTTACTCACCAGACTCCGAACCACATGCCTCGCCTTGATTGTCTGAGTGTGAGCGCCGAAACCGCACTTGAACCCGGGGTCTGCCTTACCTAGACCCCCAAAGTAGGTAAAATAATGTCCCAAACCCTACAAAAGGCCATTATTCTACAAACTCCCCAAAGTAGGTAAAATCATGGCCCAAAACCTATAAAAGGATATCATTCTACATGCTTTTGGGGTCCAGGTATATCCTAGCAAGCTCATCCCATCCTAACAAGCACAAGCTTTGTCTTACCTTTGGTTAGTAGGGAATGGAGGAATGGGGTACAATTATAAAGACTATTACTACCATTCTCCCATTCCCTACTAACCAACGGTAAGTGTAGCAGGCTCCATGGCCGACCGGCTTACGAGGACCGGCTTCCGCCATTGCCCGCTGGGGCTTCGACCCCAGGAATCGTGGCTGGAGATTTGGAGCACTGGTTCAGGGTTTAGGTTTCCTTTAAGGGATGTATGGGGATGTGCGGAACTTCCGGAGAAGGTGTGTGTGTGTGTGTGTGTGTGTGTGTGTGTGTGTGTGTGTGTGTGTGTGTGTGTGTGTGGAACACCTGTTTGCCAAGGTTTGCTGATTTGCATAGTTTGTGCAGGGGGGCAGTGAGCCTTCTATCATCCACTGCCCAACGAAGACGGTGATAGAAGTGCTGTGAAGCAATCTGGGACGCCAGATTGTGTACCTGCATTGGAATGGCACTGGGGCCAAGCCATAAACCCCATATGAGTGCAGTTTTGTTTAAGGCCAGAGGTAAAGCCTAAATCCTCTTAAAGTCCTACACCTCTGAATGATTCGACTGAAATTCTCGAGAGTTACATTAGTCCAGAGGGAGGATTGCACGAGTGTGCTCTAGACGGCTTTCGTCGATCGTGTCGTCTACGGTAGGGTAGCCTACTGCCTGGCCCTGATCGGCCCAGTCAAAATCACAGGACCCTGATCGGTCCAAGCCCTGATCGGCTTCTTGCCAAAACAAGACCTCTTGGTCTCTATAGATCGAAAATGCTCTACGGAGCAATCATACGCAGTTTAGGGCTTGATTGCCCAGTTGCAGACAGGACTGATGCCCTTTCGTTCTCACAACAGCCGTCAGTCTGATCAAGTAACTGTTCTCCCCTGGACAACTGATCTCGCCATGGCCTCCTGGTCATCATCATCATGGTCTAACAGCGACTCCAGCAACAGCTGGGACAACCGACAGCAATGGAATCGATGGAGCAAAGAAGACAAATGGGACTCCAAATACTCAGAGAAGTCGTGGGAATGTGTAGCCAGTCCCACGTATCAAACTTTTTCTTTGCCGTCTTCTTTTGTTTCTGATGACCAGCACTATGACAAGACCCCTTTGGGCAAAGGTGCTCATGTGCTGCATAAGTTGGTTCAACCCACAGAGTGGTCCCGCAAAGCTGGGCTGGCTGGCCGTGATGTCAGCGACATCCGTGCCTTTGAGCTTGCCCATCGAGGCCTTGGAGATTTCTCATTTCGATTGTTGTCGGAAGGACGGCACCAGAGTATCGTCTGGGCTCGAAGCGGCCAAGAATCGGTACTCATTACTGCACTGTTGAAGAAGCTTCGTGAAAGTGGTATTTCTATCGATGAGGCAGCAAAAGCCTGCCATACTTCGGCTCCTCCAGACAAACATAAGGAAGCAATGCGATTCATGGAACCGCTTGCTCAAGAACTTTTGAATTGTGTTTTGGCCAAAGCGCCTCCAACAAATCCGGATGCCTCCGAAGAACTTGCCAAAGCTAAAGCCAAATTGGCTGAGCATGGCATTGCTATGTCTCCTCTGAAAAGGAAGGCGACTGAAGATCCTGAGCCTGACTCAGGACGACGGGCAAAGCCTGCCATGCCCATTGCTGAGCCGGAATCCCAAATGGAAGCTGAAAAGCTCCTTAAAGATCCGCAACGAAAGCTGGATACTCGTCCCAAAGGAGCCACAGATGACCATGTCACTGAATGGCTAGCCACTTACAAGAACAAGCCAGAGTTTAAAGGCAAGTATCAAATGTTGGTTAAGCATGTACAGACTGTCCAGAAGCTTCTCAAAACTGAAGCATCTAAAGACCAATTGGTTGCAGCTGCTAAAGAGTTTGGACTGGCTCCAAAGTTGGCATCCAGGCTGTCCATCAAGAATTTGTCTACTGTGATTGCTGTTGCACAATTTCAAACTGCTTGACTAGCAGTTCAATGCCAACATCTTGCTGCTTCAAGCAAAGAAGAGATCAAGCAGCAAATTTGTATGTTGGGAGAGGCTGTGACGTTCTTTTTGCACCACTGTCCGGGCTTCAACAAAGAGTCTGCACTGTGGGCCCAAGGCCTGCTTCATCTTCTGTTGCTTTTTTACTTTCAAGAAGGATCTCCGTCTTCTTCGTATGCTGAGACCATTCGACAGAAGCTTCAGCAGTTCCGGGTGCACCCCGCCACTTACACGTGGCCGAGATTTCAATCACAAAATGCGGTGTATATGAAAACAGTAGTGGATTGGCGCCATTTTTCAAGCATTGAACATTACAGGCAGCCTTCCACATTCATGTACATAGGCTCCACCAGCCAATCGGTTTTTCGAAGAGAGTCCAACAGATTCTCAGTTGCCAGGAAGCTGGCAAACGGGGGCGAAGCTCAGGCCGAGCTAGCCATCCGATACGGGGTGTCCAATCAGTGTCTTGAGCAGTACACTTTGTTTCTCGTTTCTCCATGCTCAACTTACAAGGAAGCATGGGTAACGGAACACTGCTTAATTGGGATGTGGCAACCCAAGCTGAATCACCCGTACATCACCTCCTTTTTGAAAAGGAGCGCATTGGGCTGTAGACCCAACAAGAGAGTTCGACACAGTGTGTCTTCTAGGTTCGGGTTAAGACTGTGGAGAAAACTGAGAAAGAAGCTCCACAGACAACTTCAGCCCGTTCCTTTTCAACTCAAGAGAAGGTCGGCATGGGAGATACTATTCAATCTTACATGCTTCAGCCGTGCCCCCTTTGAAGAGGCAATAAAGCTGCGAAGCGACCGATACCTTCCAGATGAGATTTACTCTTTGGTTCGCTTGAGCAACTGCCTGGAAGAGCCTGGCAAAAGTAAAGCCAGGAAGGTGCTCAAAAGTGTTTGCCAATTCCGAAACATGTCCTGGCCAATGGCAACACTGGGCTTGCAGTTGAAATTCACTGCATCCCCAAGCTTTGGGTCAGATGTTTCTAGATGGATCCGAAAGCTTGTATTGGCACACAAGCCGATCCTTATACCTTTTCACCTTCCAGTCTGCAAAGTCAGAGAGCAACCTCATCAGTCTCTCAAGGACTTCATGCACAATTTCAAAGACTGGGACCAATGGTTACAGAATCATTCTGTTGATGAAGCACCATGCCCTTGTACTTACTATGCCAAACTACTGCCGGAACAGTGCCTCACTCGAGGCCATGTTGTAGCAGGCATAGAACAACTTAGCAGTCTTCACCGCTCCTTTGAAAAACTAGGGAGTGGTAGTGCATCTTCAGCCTTTTTTCCTTCCAAAAGAGAATTTTTCAATCACAACACCCGTCTGTTTGCATCTTGGCGGCGCAAGCATTGTCTTCCCAAGGGTGTTGATTTAGCTTTTCAGCAATTTCTCGAGCAACAATGGAGCGAACACCTCGATCACCTGGGCCAAGAAAATCGGCTCACATGGAGAGATGTTTCTGCTGCTCGTGATTTACTGCATCGACAGTTCATTGTTCATTGCGAAGACCATGAGCCCAACCATCTTATGGTCTTCTGTCCCAAATTCTACCTCCAAGCTGCCATGAAGACCTGGCAGGATCCAGATGTTTTTGAGCCTGTGGAAGGCTCCCAAGAACTCTGGAACCATAGAGTTTTTCAACAGATTCCCGCCATCCTGAAACGACGATATAGATGGGGAATCAATGCTTCCGGCACTTTGCCTGTTGGGTTCGTCTTTCTCAAACGCAAGAAAGAATTCTTGAAAGGGAGGACGATAATATCGTACTCCAACAGCTGTATCAAGAAGTTGTTGATCGCAGCTGCACAAGCGATTCTTTTGATGGTTCGCTTGGTCTGGCCTGAAGCAATGGGCCTAGCAACTACTCCCCAACTTTGGAAGAAGCTGCATCAGTTTCTCCGCCGCACCCCTTCCATGGTGCATCTCGCTGAAATCAATGATGATCTTGTGGGATTTTTCAACTCTGTGCCCAGACAGCAAATCCTGGATTCGTTGTCGATGCTTGTACAGCTGTATCAAGATCAGGAGTACCCTCCACATATTACGGTATCCCTGAAAAAGCAACCCAATTGTGAGTCTGCTTGGCCTGGTAAACTCATGGCAAAGGGAGCCAAACACATCAGGTTTCTTCATGTTTCGGACCTGACTGCGATTGTACAGACCTCGTTCCAAGCAGGAGTGTTTACCACTCTTGGCTTATTGTTCAGGCAACACCGGGGCACTTGTATAGGTAACCAAATCAGCCCGGTCCTCAGCAGTCTTCCGGTAATTCAGCGAGAATCTTGTTGGCAAAGAGAATGGCACCAGTTCCTGGAATCTGCGAGGTTCTTTGACAACCAAGCATCGGAACTGTTTGTTTGCAGATATGTTGACAATCGACTTGTAGTGTGCGATGAGAACTTTCTATCGCACCAATGCATGAAAGATTTTCAACACCTCTCTTTTTACGGAGGAACTATCCAGCTGGAAGAAGTTACGAATCATCAATTTCTGGGCTTCCGGCTCAACATGGCCAACAGAACAGTGACCTACCTGCAACCAGACAAAGCCTGGTCAATCAGAAACCCAAGATCTGCAGGAAGTTGGCCTGCTTTGTGGGCTGGCTTGGGCCCGGAAGATCAGCTGCTGGGGCTCGTGCTGTTGGTACCGGCTGTTGCGGTGCCTTGTTGGGCCTGGCTAACCTCGGCGGTGTGCGAGGTTCAGCTGGCCTCCGCAAATCTGGAGCCGCAAAAGGTGTAGCCACTGGTGGTGACAAAGGCGGCGGTGGTGGAACCCAGTATGCTGACACATTGCCCGGGGGAGGGAATGGTGGAGGCAGTGGTGCAGAAGGTGGCGGCATGACCTGCCTTGGTGGTGGAACCCAAGGTGCTGGGGCTCGCCAGTTGCCCGGAGGATACCTTGGTGTACCCATCTGTGGTCGGGTCCTTCTCGGTGTACGGCTTCGCCGTGGCCTCCGTGAGCGAGAAGTTCTAGCACGACGCCTCGAAGGGGATCTGGAGGCATTGTGTGCCCGATGTGATAAGGCTGGTCTCGGTCGCGGTTGAGGATGTATTTCCTCAACTGGTCCTTGCAATGCAAGAACACGTGGCTGCGGGTTGGATCCTTGGGATTCGCCGCAGAAGAACTGAAAGACGTACGATGCCATAGCTGAGGTACACAAGGGACAGACTATAAAAGTCGTCGCGAGCCC